CCTGAACCTGAGAGTCTTGGGAAGGGTTTTATGGGTGGAGCGCGTCAACCTCTTGGCCAGCAGCCAACGTTTGGTGACGCTGTGACCTTCAGCTCCAGGGATCCTCAGAGTTGGGTGCCTTTTGGGCAGCTCTACCCAAAAGCGCTTCCTTGTTGCTGGGCAAGACCACAGAAGGGGCATCCCTTCTACTGAAGAAGGCAACTGTGTCTGGCTTGGTCAGTGGACATGGGACGTGTGGCTCGAGAGAGTTCCGGGGGACACCACGGGAAACCCGGCAAGATGGCCGGTAGGAGAGAAGGGAGCTTGTGACAGGGAGGAAACGGTGCTGTGCTGGCTGTGAGAAAGGCAGTGGCTGCAGGTGCTCACTGTCTTGTGACCACTGTCAGACCACTGTCCCCTCCTGACCCGGCCATGCCCCGTGTGAATATACAAGGTGACCGTGTGGCCCCGCTGGTCCCTCTAGGTGGGCCCTGCCCTATGGGAGAAACCCCGAGACTGGGAGAGGGCTGTGGACCCTCGCCTGATGGAGTGGTTTTGGAGAAGTGGCCACTGGCCATCGGGGACTTGGTTGCCTTGACCACTCTGCCTACCGCTGGCTGTCTCCAAGCATAGAGGAGCCATCCAAAAGGGCTAGGACGGAAAGATCGTCTTCCTCGCTATGCTGTGGGCTCCAGACTGTCTCCTTGTGCTTTCTACCCTGGAGAAACTGAACTCCACTTGTTGGGGCCACAGGAAAGCATTCCAGTCCTTCTCCCTCACGACAGCAGTAACAGTGTAGTTGGCACACTGAGTCTCTTTCCTATCTCCAGCCCCCTTGCCTGGAAGCTATGGGACAAGGGGCAATGCTAGGACAGGCAGGACAGCTTCAGATGACCTGGCCCCACCTCTGGTCACAGCCCATGGGCTGGCAGGCGATGGAGGGGTAGTCCAGGCTAACCAGCCGGCACTCCAGACCATGACCTGGTAACAAAGATGAGCTGAGAGATTCAGACTGTCTCTCTCTCGGAAACTTTCTACAAACCAGTTTGGAGGGAGTGAAAACCTTGCCTAGAGAAGGCTTGATGGGTCAGGTGAACACTGAAGGTATGAGTCAGCAGAAGCTGGGGGACAGGGAACGGAGGTGCGAGGAGAGGGGGGTTGTGGAAGGTTGGTAGGGAGCCAGGAGCTGCATCAGGCTCCCGGGGAGCCTCTCCCTGCACATAGCAGTGGGGACCTTCCCATGACACGGACCCAGACATCGTGCTTTCCTGGGGAGTCCTCGCATTTGACTGAAACTCAAACTCCTTCCCGTGGTCTTCTAGGCCCTGCCTGATCGGCCCCTCCTACTTGCAGCCCTGACCCCCACCCCCACCTGCTCCCCCTTCCGCACTGGCTACCACGCCTCTCAGCTCGTGCCCGCTGCCCGTTGCCCTGGCTGTGCCCTCACCTGGGAGACTCTCCCCCCACCCCCCGATCTCAGGGCAGGTCTCAGCTGAGACATGTCCCCTTGGGAGGCCTTGCTGCCCACCCTTGCTAAAGTGACTCTTCCTGCAGACGCAGTGTGGCCCATGCCCCTGCTCGCTGTCTACCTACCTGTCTGCTCTGGCCATGTGCCTTCCCACCCCCTCCCTGCAAACGTGAGCTCCAGGAGGGCAGAGCCTGGCCGGCCTTACTCACTGCTCTGACCCCAGCACCCGTAAGTGTCCAAAACTTAGTAAGTGATCACAGAATGAAGGAAGTAACACATGAATGAGTAAAGGAACCCAGTGGCGTGAAAAGCCCTGTGGTCTCCAGGCCAAGCCACCCTCACCATCTGCGGTCAGTACTGTTCAGTGACTTCTGTGCCAGGCTCTGCTTGAACCTCTCTACAAACACTGCTAGCTCGATCCTCGTTAACTTCCTGTTGAGGCAGGGACCATTATGAACTCCACTGGGCAAGTGAGAAAGCAGGCACCGAGGGGTTAAGCGGCTCAGCCAAGACCAGACCATACAACCAGTAAGGGGTGGAGCCGAGGTTTGAACCTGGGCTGCTGGGTTCCAGAGTCTGTGCTCCGAACCATTGCTCTGGACTTGTCTGTCACCTGCTGCCAGGTGCTCCCAACTGAGGCAGCAGACAGCCCCTGCTGACCAACCACCTGTGACACACACTACACACATTCCCCATCAGTAGCCCTGGGAGGTTTCATCGATGGTTAAACCAAAGCTTAGGGAGGTTGCATTGCCGGCTCCAGGGCACACAGCTAGTGAGCCAGTGGGAAATGGAAGCAGGAGATAAGAGAAACAGCCACCCAAGCATGATACCACTGGCCTCACCACTGGAGCGCTAGGGAGTGGTGGGGACTGCGACAAACGGGAGGGCTCCTGCCCTGTCCAAAGGGGTCAGCCACGACTCCGCTCTTGCTGCTGGCTGCCTAATGGGAAGAAGGGGGCCAGATCTTTCCATTTTTTTCCAGGGAAGTAGGAATATAGATTTTTTTATATGTATGAAATCTTTTGAATTTAAATGTTGGTAAGTGACCAAAAGTCTTTTTGCAAACTGTGTGAGTCCAAAAAAACATTATCTGGAAGCAAGTTTGACCCACAGACTTCAAGTTGTTAACCTCTGGACTCCCCCAGGCCTGCCCTCCACATGTTTGAAATCAGTTGTCGCACCCTCCTCCCAGGTAAGCAGTCCCCATGTCTTTACAGCGGGAACTTCAAGGGCAGGAACTGAGCCTTCTTGGATTTTTTTTTTTTTTTTTAACCCCAGAGCCCTGCACAGTGCCTGGGCTCTGGCAGGTGCCAATAAAGGTCTGTTACATTAATGGCTGATTTCTTTCATGACATGCATTCGAGCCCACTCACCACTCGGGAATGCTCCCTGGTTTGTCTGTATCTCTGAGGGGTGGCCCCAAAGGCCCATTTGTGGGAGGAGCAGAGTTCACGTAGCACCTGTCACTCGGCGCCCATCCCGCTCCCATCCTAGGGGGCCTGGCTGAGTGGCAGAGGCAGAAAGCAACTGCGTTTCCAGGCTCCCTGGCAGCCTAGGTGGTGGGTGTGATTTAGGTTCAGCCTCACATGTGACAGGGAAAGCAGAAGTGAGGGGAGGAGATGAAGGGGACAGAGGTTGGCTGATCTGTGCTGAGCACCGTCATGGAGGTGACAGGTTTTTCAACACTGTCCCTGACTTGCTAGCCAGGCTACGGGGCAGGGGTCAACTTTTCTTTGCACTGTTGCTCTAGCAGGCCCGGGGTCACTCGGAGGCCGACAGCGGTGGCAGTTGCTCCCTGATTCCTGGGTCGCACCTAAGGGGATGCTTCCTGATGTGGATCCTGTGCCTTCCTGACCGTCCCCGCCGCAGGCCAGGGCTAAGCGACTGTGCTTTCTGGGCACCAACCTGGAGGCCCAGCCTACAGCCCACCCCTCAGCCAGCCCAAGGATTTTGTAAGCAACTGACTCCCCGCATCGGTTCCTTTCTGCTTAAAATAGCCCCAGTGTCTCTGTAGTTAGACACTGGCTAACCCCAGACTGATATGGCATAGAAGGACAATTACAGCCCTCAAGGCATCAGGAAGCCAGGAAATTAGCTATGATTAGGCCCTGTGAAGTGTGGGACCACAAGGAGAGGCAGGAGAGGGATGCTAATTAATCTTAGGCCAAGTCTTTTAAATTGCACAGACTCTGGGGCAGCCATTAAGCCACAGTCTAAGACACAAATACGGCTCCTGATAATAGAAGGCTCTCAAAACAACTGGAAGAACTGTCTTAAGTGGGAAGTGGAGAAAGGCCTCATTAACGACAAATTAATATTCATTGCTGGGGACAAAAGGAGGCCTCCAGGCTGTGTGCCCTCTAGGCCTTGCTCATCAGCACTCGGATAAGGCAGGAACACCCTTCCCCATTTAATCACAGACTTGCGAATGCCTGGTGAGGAAAAGGAAAGATCACAGGGTTTGCCTTCACAGGTCCGGGGTTCAAGTCCCAGCCTACCCTCTTCCCTTAGTAGCTATGTGACTCTGAGCGAGTCACCTTACCCCTCTGGGCCTCAATTTCTTCAGTAGCACAATGGGGACATTTCCTGACCTAACAGGGTTATGGTAAAGGTGGCTGGGCCCATAAGGCACACGAAAGCATTTACCGTAGACCCATCCATTTGGCACCGTGTAAAATATTATACAGCAGTAGTTCTCAATCTTGGCGAACACAAGATTAATAATAACAATAATTTTTAAAAACCCACTGCTTAAGCCTCATGAAGTCAGAATCTCTGAGGGTGGGGCCTGGGCACCTGTATTTTAAAACCTCCCCAGGTGATTCAAATGTGCAATCAGGGCTGAGACACACCGCACCCAGGTAAGGCGTCAGTGACTGCAAGGTCAGGTCTCAAGGGCTGTAGGAGCAAGGACACAGAACCTGGAGCGGAAGATCTGAGTTTGAATCTTGATTCTGCCACTTCTTAGCTGTTCACCTTGGAAAAATCATAGAACTTTTCTGAGCTTCCACCTCCTCTGCTTCCTAAAAAGAGGGACACCACTGAAACTTAGGGCTGCTGGGAGGGCAAAGGAGGAGTCCTGTAGGAGCTGAGCCCACGCCTCGTACCCAGGGGAGGTGCTCCGAAATGTAAGCTTCTGACACAGCAGCAACCCAAACTGGCATCTCAGTTCCATGGGGCAGGGGCTCTGTCTCACTCACCCACTGTATCCCTGGCATCTAAGACCGTGTCTGACACATAGTAGGTGCTCAATGAAAAACTGCTGTATGAATGGGTTATCATGATGGGGCTCTGAGTCTGACCTTCTTACATGCCTGAGTGGGGCCAGGGCGCCCCAGCCAGAAGGGAGGACCATGCAGCAGAGAGAGGACTCTTCAGAGGCTGGTTCCACATGCTAAAAGGCTCCACTGCAGTGCCCAGCCAGACCCACATCCTGCCTATGGGGTTTTCAATGCCCTCATTCTATTTCTGTTCCCACGACAACCCCACACCCCTTATTCTAAAGTGTGAGCTGGGGCAACAGTCTTGACTCTGCCCTTGGTTTCCAGACCTGGTGCCATCCTCGGCGCTGAACTTTACTGGGGGCCGTCCGTGAATTGCGTCTTAAGGCTTCTTCAGCTTCTCGAAACAGGGTTCTTCGTCCGTAATCTGCACCAGAGATGAGGGAAGGAGACTTGGTAAGGCACCGACGACAAGCTCGCACTTACGGATTGTTTTGTGACTTATACCTAAAATGCATGTCAGTGTGCCCAAAGTCGCACATATGATAATATTCACTATAGCACTGCGTGTAGCAACAAAACATTAGAAAACAAACTCAGTGCCCAGCAAAAAGAAAATGGGTAAATAAGTCCTAGCACATCCATGCCATGCAATAATATGTATAATGTACAGCCAAATCAGGCAGATCTATACATACAAAGAACAATCTCCAAGATGTAGGAGCAAGGTACAGGACAGTATACACAAGAGGTCCATTTGTGTAGTAGAGGGTAGAGGGTGAAGATATTTGTTCAATGAATGAATGAATGTACTGCTGGTGCTCCAAGGACACAGAATCCTATTGTCTGTTGCCCCTTGAAACCTGGACCAGGGAAGGCCTAATTCTAAAGAGCAGCAGGTTTGCCCTGCCTCCTCCACCAGGAAAGCTAGGAGAGCCATTGGTTTCCCTCTTTGCCCTGGGGACTAGGAAGCTAATGCTAAATTCCATGTTGAACTGCAGTGGCTCTCCTAGGAAAACATTTTGGAACATTCCTTTCTCCTCCTATCCTTTTGTTGTTGTTTTGACTTTTACTATCTATTAATGCTTGGGATCTTACCCTATCTGTGAAGCCAGAATTAGAGTAACACAAATTAAAGTTACTGTGTTCTACTTTACATTTCTCATGTCATTTAATTTTCCTGGCAAGTCTGCAGGGTGGGCAAAATTATTCCCATTTTATGGGAAACCGAGGGTCAGAGAAGTTCCAATTGCCTAAGGTCTCAAAGATCGAATGTGGCAGAACAGGGCTCCTTCAAATACGGCTCTGCTTCATTCCAAATCCTCTTCTTGTAACTTGTGGCCTCTCACACGAGCCACTGGCCTCTCACACGAGGCGGGCTGCCTTGCAGGGTGCTCTGACACACCCTAGGGATAGGCACCCTCCTTAGTCCTAAGAAATTAAAATCCTAAGCTTCCCAACTGACTGAATGGACCCCAGTTGGCCTAGGGGACCCTGGAACTAAGCTCCCTATCAGAAAGGTCAGACAAACCTCATTATGCCCCCTTCCTTTTGGAGTTTAGACATAATAATTAACCAGCATTAATGTTAAAATAGAGATCATAAGACTGACAAAACAGACTCTTTGTGATAATAAGACACCAAATTAAAAATAAGACATAAGGCCATGTAAGGCAAGGGTTAATCCATGCCTTACAATCCATAAAATCTAGTTAACAGGTCTTTTTTTTGCTGGCGTGGTTTTTTTTGCTGGCGTGGTTATCACATAATAGATAACAGACCCCCTTATCTTAACTTAGGCATTCCTTCCTACTGACTCCAAATTTTCAGACAAAGCTTAGCTCTCTCAAACAAGTGTCAATTAAAGAATCTCTAAATCCACCTTTGACTTGTAAGCCGCCACTTCAAGATATCCAGCTTTTTCGGGTCAAACCAACGTATACCTTCCATGTACTGTTTTATGTCTTTGCCTATAACTCCCGCCTCCCTGAAATGTGCAAAACCAAGCTGTAATCTGACCACCTCAGGGCCACTTACTCAAGGTTCCTTGGGTTCGTGTATCCCTGGGCCACAGTTACTCATATTAGCTCAGAATAAGCGTCTTTAAATTATTGTACAGTTTGGTTTCTTTCCATTAACAGTACCATTTTAAAGACGAGCAAAGGCACAAAGAGACAAAGTGGCTTCCCCATGGTAACCTGACTCCATGAGCTGTGCCATTTCATTCATTCAACTGCCAAATCATTTTTGGTGCCTACCCTACGCCAGACACTGCGATGGGTGCTTTTCCAGTACATTCTTGGGCTTCCCGTGCTTTTCTTAGGGGACACATGAAATTGATTTAAAGTATGCAGGATATGGATTAACTAAACGCAGAAATGAACGGTGGATTCAAATATTACACAGAGGTCAGATACCAGAGTTAAGACCTATCAAGTGAAAATCAGATATAATCCAAAATTGCACAAGAAATTTTCTTAAAGTACTGACACTTGAAATGCAGAAAATGTAAAAGCTAGGAATTTACTGCTCTGGACCCTTTGCTCTGGGCTGGTAGAGGCCAAAACTAGTTTAAAAAGAAATAAACAGGCTGGGCGCGGTGGCTCACGCCTGTAATCCTAGCACTCTGGGAGGCTGAAGCAGGAGGATCACTTGAGCTCAGAAGTTCAAGACCAGCCTGAGCAAGAGCGAGACTCCGTCTCTACTAAAAATAGAAAAATCAGCTGGGCATGCACCTATAGTCCCAGCTATTTAGGAGGCTGACGCAGGAGGATCACTTGAGCCCAAGAGTTGGAGGTTGCAGTGAGCTATGATGATGCCACTGCACTCTATCCAGGGTGATGGAGCGAGACTGTCTCGAAAAAAAAAAAAGGAATAAACAGGATTTCTCGTTTTTAATCTCATGCTCTCTTTCTGGCCAAGTGGGTATAGTTAACTTGTGTTCATTAGCTAGTTATCTGCTGGTAAATTCATGCGCACGGGATGGAGTTTCATGGTCCCTAATTAATTTTAACTAACGGAGCTGCTGCTCCGCCTGGAGGCCCTGCACTCACCACGTGTCCCCTCGGCATGCGAGGCGCTTCTGGAGAAGTCGGGGTGAACGGCTTTCCGTGGTGAGTTCTTCAGCTCAGAATTGGCCCCGTTCACGTAGACAGAGAAACCTTGCTCCAAGTGCTCCAGCCTCAATTGCACGGGGTCCTTGGCTTTCAACTGCTTTAATATCCTGCAAGAGAAATGATCGCTTGCACCTCATCGTATGAGAGTCTGGGCGGCTGCCACCCCCAAGCCAGGAGTGAACTGCTGTTCTGAGGGTGAAGCGTGCCCAATCAGAGGCTGGGGGACGTGTGCCCAGCTGTTTGTCTGCAAACAGCCTCTAAAGAGGCCCATGACACACACAGAGAAGCAGCGAGGGGGAGACTGTTTGGGGACCCTGCAGGGAAGTTTCTGCTCTCGTTCTAAGGCTCAAATACACGTTAGCAAAAATAAACACACAGCCCTGCCCCGTGGTGGCTGAGGCAGAGAGGGGGCATATGTGTGCATCCTGCTATCACACAACCTGGATTTTCTGAGATGATCCCAATTTTATGCAATTGCACTCTGTGTGGATAGTGAAAATTTGTTTGACATGTAACAAAAGGTGGCGTAGGGTCTAAGGCTTTGCGAGAGGGATTTCACATAACACATTTACCAATCAGAAAACATCCCTCGCAAGACTGGGCAGGCTAATTTTTTGCTTCAGTGAATATATGTGTTCTCAAACACTCACCCTTGATATCTCAAATGGCATCATTTCGTATTCTATTGCAGTTAAAAAATATATCCGTATTTGATTATAGGTGTTTGTTCAAGATTAATGATATGATTATCACATCCTTTGGCTAAAAGGGTCTTGGCATGCATGTGGCCAGGTCTTTAATTTAGCTTTCACTAAAGCCCATCCTCACGCTTCGAACTTGGTCCATTTCCCACTCCGGACATTCCATTGCCATAAACAGTGCACGGTGTCCTTTTTAGCCCCCTCCAAACTGCTTCCATGTGACAGTAAACTCTCCAGTATCTTTACAAACACCTATACCCACCCCCACAACTAGATTTATACAGACAACCAACCAACGCAGCAACAAGTGTGAATCTTCTTTAGTAATTAAAGAAGTACCTACCAAATGAGCAAAATTTAAATTTTAAAAAACAATAGCAGTCACATAAAAGGTGTGTGCTGTGTGCCAAACTCTGTTGTACATACATAGACAGTTAATTCTCATTATTTGCTGTAGATGTGGCCTAGAAAGCCACCGAGAATAAGGAATTAGTGAATACTGAACCATTGCTTCTAGCGGAAATACAGGATTAGGTTCCTGAGAGTCTGTGGTCACATTTTCACGAACCGATCACCACACAACCTTGTTTTATGCGTGCTTCTGTTCAAAGACGCCCTCTTGCACTGCTGATTCATTCACACTGAGCTCGCAGTCAAAAGCATCGCAACTCATGCCTGAACAAAGCTGACCTAATACACGTATTTTCTTCATGAGGCACATCACAGCCTTCTTGTGCTTGGGAACCCTGGACAGCATTCCTGCAGTATGTCTGGGGGCCGATTTAAACAGAGAAATCATCAAGAAAAAGCACAAAAATGTGAAAAACGTGGTATTAGGTCTACCTCGAAAAGGACACTTGTTTACACCGAAAGAAGGTAGCAAAGTGTTGCCTGGTTCTACCTCAGCTGGGAACGTGAGAGTCAGGTGACTACAATTTTTTGCTGCTCTGCACGTATCTGTGAATGACTGAAAATGCACAGGAATGGACCGTGGGGTTACAGGTAAGCTGCAGTGAGTAGGCAGATTCACAGATATGGAATCCGAGAATGAGAATCAACTGTATTAAGACATTGACCTCCGCGACAACCCTATGGGGCAGCAGTCCCCAACCTTTTTGGCACCAGGGACCGGTTTCATGGAAGACAATTTTTCCATGGATTGGCGGGGGATGGTTTTGGGATGATGCAAGCACATTATATTTATTGTGCAGTCAGACCTCTCTGCTAATGATAATCTGTATTTGCAGCCGCTCCCCAGCGCTAGCATCACCGCCTCAGCTCCACCCCAGATCATCAGGCATTAGTTCTCATAAGGAGCCACAACCTAGATCCCTCCCATGCGCAGTTTATGGTAGGGTTTGCTCCTATGAGGATCCAATGCCACTGGTGATCTGACAGGAAGCAGAGCCCAGGCGGTGCTGCGAGCCATGGGGAGCGGCTGCAAATACAGATGAAGCTTCCCTCGCTTGCCCCTCACTTCCACTGTGCGGCCCGGTTCCTAACGGTCCACAGACTGGTACCGGTCCGCGGCCCAGGGGTTGGGGACAGCAGCTATAGGATAATTACTTTTATTATCCCCACTTAGCAGATAAGGAGACTGAGGCAAAGAGAGGTTAAGTAATTTGCCCAAAGTCACACAGCGGGTCCGTGGCAGGGCAAGCATGCAAACTTAGGCAATCCAGGGTCTTCACCACAACAAAGACAACATCTAAAGCTATCAAGATGCTGTTGAAATTGGCAAACCTAGACATTGCTTGTAACTCACAGCACCTTGTTGGACGTAATATGAAAATATAGAAAATGCTATGTGGGTCTTTCCCCAGGAAGCACATTCTGGAAATTGTTCCTGAGCAAGAAGATGGATAGTGTTTAGTCATAACAAAACCCTGAAAATAACCCAAATGTCCAACACCAGGTAGGAGGAAGCTGGGATATTGTGCGGCTGTTAAAATCTTGAAGACTGTGTAGAAACATGGGGGATTGTTTGTGATCCGTCCAGAGAGGGATGAAAAAATGGTACATACATGGCAAAAGCAAAGTTGGACAAAAGTGAGTTTCTGGCCCCAGAGTGGAAGGTGATAGATGTTAAAATGAAATCGGTTGTTGAGGTAAGGTGATGGCATTGTGTGTGATTTCTTTGTTTATTTTTAAATGTTTCTTTAGCGGCTGATACATCCGTCTTTTCAACAATTGCGGCAGGAGCATTTATTACAAAGTGCTTATCTCTTCCAGCCTTGGAAGCCTGGGAGACGCCTGATTGTTGGGCGACAACATAAAACAGAAGGAAAACACAAGTAACTAAGAGACAATTTCCAAACATGGCATAGCTATGCTCGCTGGAGCAAACCATCAAGGGACGCCGGGGGCCACCAGCAGTCTCCGGGGAGAGGAGAGAGCAGGAGCCCACATCCTGGGAGGCCCTGTGGCGGGGCGGGGCAGGAAATCTGATCACCCAAGCAGAGAGCCCGCCTCAACTTCTCTGCCTGCCCTCTGATGCCACGTTAACAGTCTCCGCATCCAGTTACCCGGGACCCAGGGCTGGCACTCCACGTGTGCCTCTCCTTAAACAGAATGATTTATGAAAATGTGGATTTATGAAACTGATAAATTAGTAGATAATTATTCAGACTGTGAAAGGAACTGCTAAAGGAACTCCCCCTACTGCAGCTGAGAGCATCAGTAATATTCAGGTGGCATCGAAGAAAAGTGTGTTTTTTAATTGATAGCCTACTTTGCATAAAAAGCTGTCCTGGGTGCAGAGGATTCAGATAAATCAGAGTCAGTTCCTGCCCCATCTAAAATCGAGCCCTGCCACCTTCTACTCTCTTCCCGGTTTGAGTTTTTTCACGGCGCACATAACACGCCGCCTGACATTATACTATGCTTTATCTGTGCATTTGTCTATACTCCATCCCTCCCTCCCCACTGCAATCCGAGCCCCTGGGCACAGGCATCCTCCTGTCGGCCATGGTGAGGAACGATGGGGAATGCTCTCAATGCCTATTTCTGCAACAAGTGGCCCCAAGGAACTCAAGGTCTAGCAGGAGACATGACTGAGTATACTACTGTTCACAGGTATCATTTTCCTGGTGCATGTCACAGCCACCATTTCCATTTTACCTGACGTTTAGAGTCACCTGTGCAGAGCTCCTTTGCACGGATGAGGAAGTGGAGGCTCAGCGAGTTAGGAGCACAGGGTGTCATGGGGGAGTGTGTGACTGGGGACCTATGTGGTTGAGGGCTGGGGTGGTCGGGGAGGACTGTCCCCGTCATGGGCCACCACGGCAGGGACCCAGATGGTGAGGAGGACCTGGGGAGCACACAGGGCAGGGCCTGATTGTGACTAGACTTCTGTCTCTGGCCTCTGAGCGGTGTGGTTGCCATGGCATGCAGATGAGCCACGTGGTTCCACCAGACCTCAGTCATCTCAAGGGTCAACCTAGGAGTTCTCCCAGGGTCAGCCCTGGATATCGACTTGGAGAGAAGGCATGTTTAATATTAAGAGGACAATCATGATGACCATGATCACTGACTTGGCTGGTGGGATGACTGTGGGATTATTTCATCCTCCAATGGCCCTGGGACTTAGGTTCCACCATTGGCCTGTTTTATCAGGAAGCCACAGAAGCAGCTGAGCCTAGATTTACGTTCTGGCCCGTAGTAAGCCACCACCCAGGTGGGGCTGCAGAGCCTGTGCTCTCACCTGCCCCATTCTGCTGCTCTTGCCTCCAGCCCCAGGCATCACGCAACAGGGGCTCTGAGCAAGGAGCAGAGGAGGGAGCAACGGCTCCCAGCTGGGGCTTCCCTGGAGCTGGTGGCACTTGAGTCCAGTCTTGAAAGATGACGAGGGAGGCGGGAGGGGTACGTCTGCCATTCCTCCCCAGGACCTGGGCGGCCCACAGGATGCCCCACAGAACAGCGTCTGTGCAGGTCGAGGTGGTGCAGCGTGGAGGACAGAGCTCAGCACGAAAGGCTCTGATGACAAAACGGGACGCTGGGTTAAAGCTGCAACTCAGAGAGTGGCCGTGCAAAGCCCCCATGGTGCTGGCTTTCTCCTTCCTTCTCTCTGCCTGAATCTGCTCTTGGGGCAGATTTTCCTGTAAGTTTCCCTCAAATGACTCTTTTCAAGGACCAAGTGATAATAGCATCGCTGGATTCTTAGATCTGGTGGACAAATCTGTGTCCACTCTCTGCAATCTCGAGGTGTCTATGACAGCCCCTCTCGGTGGCCATCACCTCTTCAGATACAGGGGTCCTCATCTTTTCAGTCCATACTCATATCTCGGCCCTTTGATCACGTTGCTTGCTCTTTCACGAATCTTGTTGGGTGTGATCATATCTTTCACGACATTGAGTGACCCGAATCACTGAGAGCCCGCTGGGACAGGCGGCTGGGAGGGTTTGTGCCGGGGGCGGGTGGGGCTGTCACATCTCCAGAGCCTCCCTCTTTGTCCCCCCTGCCCTGATCCTTTCCTAGGAGCACATGATCACTTTCTGCTCCTACTGGCAAAGTTATAGGTGGCCTCGTGCTTACCCTGCCACTACCCAGGGAGTTCCTCAAGGGTGAGGATTGTGTGGTAGACACCTGTCTTTTTGCTGCCTAGTATCCCCCATCCTCCAGACAATGCCCCTCCAATTTCCTCTGGGTCCAGCTATACTCCTTCTCTTACTCCGTGTGGTTTGGCTGGGACTGACTCCACTGCCCAATTTAGTGGGGTGGCCACAGAGTAGCCAGTAGGACTATGCCACCTAACCACACACACGGAGTGATTGGTTCAGGATGAGAATGCAGCCAAGCCAGGCCAATGGGAGCCTCCTCAGCACTTCTGCTCGAAGTACTAGGAAAGAAATGCTCTCTGCCCTTTGAAGCAGGATGTAAGTAGGGGCTTCCACTAGCTGTCTTGGTCATTGTGAGGGAAGCACCTACCTGAGAATGACTCCAACATGGGAAAACAAAGGCAAGAGATGGACAATGATTGATTTTGGTGACATAATTTAAGCACCTTGATCCAGCTATGCCTGAAGCAAGAGTTTCTGCTAGATTTCTTAATTTCATGAGCCAACAAGTTTCCCAGCTGCTTAAGCCTGCTCACCTTGGGTTTCTGTCCCTTACAATTAAAAGAACGCTAACTAATACAACCTGTGCCTTCTTCATCACCGTGTTGACCTTTGTGCTAATGGTAACGCCGGGCACGTATAAGGTACTCAATGAAATCCTCCTGAGTGAATGGAAGAATGTTACCCAGCATCTATGGCAGCTGTGTTCTGGGCAGACCCCTGCTAAGAATTCACTCCAGTGATTGCGTAGCCCAGACAAACAGCCTGAGTCTTCATCTCCCTCAATGCCCACTGTAAAGCTCAGAGGCTGGTTTTTGACCTGTCATAAAACTAGGTTTCCGAGTAAATTGCAGTGTATTCCCACAAAATCCCTCCTTAGTGAACTTTACGGCCTTTGGCAACCCGATCAGTTTTCTCTCCTCTTGATTATTTATGACAATGTCAAACCAAACCTAAAGCACAGCCCAGCTCCACCACTTCCTACTGTGGGACCCGGGGCAAGTTGCTCACTCCTCTGGGACTCTACTTCCTTGTCTGTAAAATGGGTGCAATAACCCTATCTGCCTCCCTGGGTAGTGTGCAGATAAAGCGAAATGGCGGGGCCAAGCGCCCAGCACGTGGCTGGTACTCTGCAAAAGTTTCCTTTGAGGCTTGGCTCACCCTTAGCTCACGGCATTCCTGTTCTCTACAGGGCTCCATCTGAAGGAGTTTCTCTCCCTCTGTACCTTCTAACGTCCCATTACTAAGACAGCTCCTCTCAGTGGCAACACATCGCCCCTCCAAATTTTATGGCAACTCCCTTTTGACATAGTTTTTAATTGCCTTTGTGTTGCAACCTTGTCTCTGAAAATTCTCATTTATGCTATCAGCCAGTACCTCTCTGCACACTTATTGATCCCTTGATTAATGAGAAACAATTTGCTCATAAGGAACTATGACAGTCTCTCCCCAGCCAAGTCACATGTAGATGATTAAATGATCACCCAGGTGTTTGGTGGCACCATCCAGCCTGCCAGAAACTGAATAAAAACATCCTACTCCGTGGCATTAATGATGACAAAAACCCACGTTGGTCTAATCAGCACAAGCCTTCGCTATTCTAGTTCGAGGTTGGCGCTGGGATGGCGGGAGATGAGCGCAGAGCAGCTGGGCACAGAGGACACCATCGTGGCGTTTCTAGCAGGTCCCAGAGAGTTTATCTATTCAGAAGTTCTCCACCAGGGATGGTGCTGCCTCGCTGGGGCAGGTATCTGGAAAGTGGGCAGGTGTTGTTGTCACAGATACTGGGGGACTCAATGGAATTTAGTAAAGGAGCCAGGGGGCAGGGATGCTGAACTCCTACTACAATGCACCGGACTATCCTGTACCACAAAGACTTGTCCCACCCAACATGCCACCAGGGCCCCTTTCGACACCAGTAGGAGTCCAATCGGTGAGACAAGAGCTGAATCCACACTCAGGATGACACTACCTCCCCTACCAAGACTCTTGTCTGCAAGACTCCAAGCCCCTTCCCATAACACAAGGGTCCACATTAGTACCCAGCTGGTTTCCTCCCTCTCATCCAGCCAGTTTTGTGGGCCTGCAGTGTTCTGTTTGTTTTGTGCTTTCATTCGAATTCATTACCAACATTTTAAAACTCAAGAGATTTCACAACACAAATCTAGGTTTCAGCTTCTCCGGCAAACCTAGAAGACCTGGAGCCCAGGGGATGTGTTCCCACAAACAACCGGCCTGAGCTGAGCAGCTTGGAGATGAGAGCTCCAGGTGCCCACTGCCCCCCTGAGCTGGCTTCACTCACGGTCTGGCATCTCCTAGAATTTGAGTTTGCAAGTCCAGCTTACTGCAAGGTTCAAGGCCTGAAGCCAAACCACAGGGAATTGAAAATGAACCCTCCCTCTCATCCCTGCAAAGGAACCGAGGAGGTGACGCCTCTTTCAAACCAGGCCGCAACGCATTGACCTTGATCACTAAACATCGCACCTATTGCATGCTTTTTCAAGAACCAGCACTCCAGAGACAAAATCAGTCCTAACTTTAAATGACATATCGACCAACTTCAAACACAAATGTAAAATGACTCCCTCTTTACGTAACAGGACATGATTATAGGCTCAGGTTTCAAGAGACCGTCAAAGCCTGCAGACCGGGCTAGTCAGGTGACTCTTGCACAAGCCCTGCCAAATTCAAGCTTTTCTTGCAATCCTACCTTCTCCCACAACAGAAGCAGGGTGGCAAAAGGCAGCACTTACACGTCGAACAGTTCGCAACAGCTCAATCCAAAGACGCAATTAAATCAGTGAATGGAGAAACAGGAGCTGAGATTGCAGATCACGTTCTAAGCCTCTGCATCCTATTTCTACATGAAACGGGGCCTGCATGCTGTTAATAAATCTAAATAGATTTTTATTTGTGGCTAATATTAAGGGCTGCCATCGAGCGGCTTCATCTTACCGGTTCCTCTGCTGAAGCAATATTAAATACTCATCATGTTTCTCATCAAAGTCTGTCACCATGTCCTTAGTGTAACCCTGAAACGAAGAAACAAAGCAGTGTGATAGCGGAATGCAGGGAAGCACTGACTCAGAGCCCAGGGCCCTGCCACACAGGCACAGGAAGCCGAGAGGCAGAGGCTGGCCTGTGACGAAGGCCCAGCTCCCTGGGCCCATCACTCCGGCGACCCAGAGCCCCAGAGACTGTCTGATGGCCCAGTGGGGCTTAGGCGTACGCAACTTTAATAATCTACGAGAAGGAGAAGGTCAACTCCCCAGTCTCGCTACTGTATCCTCCTCCTGTGCCCCATAAAGTCAAGGGCTCTGACGAGGTTTGGGCTTTACTGTTTTCTCAACACTCGTCATTTAGTTATCTCAATTGTCATAACCAGATGCAACGCAAATCCGTTGTTTAGAAGGGGATCCATTTTCCCCTTGCCATTGCAAGAGAAGTGCAGGTGTATGTTAAACAATGCAGTCATTACAGAAACATCTGGCCCAGAGAGCGAAGGCACGCTGGAGGTGGGCATTCGCCGTTCTGCTCCTCCTAGTCTCACAACAGGGCGTGGATTTCCTTTAAGGAACCATTCAGCCCCTTTTAGTTCATTGGCTTCCTTAGGTGCCCCTGAAAGTGCCTTTGTGCTCCTCTTGGGTCACATGACCTTGGCCTTGCCAATCAGCATAGTTTTTCCCCAGCCACACCGAGTCACTGTTTCGGGAGTGAACCATGATCCAAGCCAGCCCTAGGACTTTGCCGATACTCTTGGGAAAGAGCTGCACTCTTTCCACTCGGGTGCTGAGCCAATGAGATGCTGGCCTGGAATTATCTGAGTATGAAGCCAATACAAAAGACAGCAGATCCAAGAGACTGGAGAGGAACGGATTGCTAATGACATCATTTGAGTCTCTGGATCCACCCATGCATGAAGAAGTATCTGGACGATTCAGTTATTGCTTTAGAAGTTTCAGCTGAGTTTCTGTCATATGTAGCTAAAAGAATTTTAAGTAATATGCCATAATCTAACCATCAGAGATAACCCCTATTATAATTTATTACAGCCTTAAAGACGGATAATTAATGTGTAATAAATGTTGTATATTTAAAGTGGACATATATATATACTGGTCAAACCTCCACTATAATTTGATATCTATTCCTCTGAATGTTTTCTTCGTTCATAATATACATATATACATATGTATACACAAACATACACCTTCTTTTAAACAAAAATGGGATCATACCATAAACAATGCTTTGCGATCTACTGTCTCTTAAATAACTTTTTGCCAAGTAATGGACTAAAGATACAACATCAACTTGGTACTGGTCTCAAGTTATAGCAAATTAGAGGGATTAAGTTTTAAACGGCAAGTAGGACATTTGTAACAAATGCAATTTGTGTAGGAATCTTAATGATTCCTACATGGGGAGGAATTCCTTCCATGGGGAGAAGAGAGAGAGGAAAAAAATAATCTCCATCATTCTCTTCTTCTTAAAACCTCACTTTAACCCATTATCTTACTAGAACCCTACCCAAGAGTGACCCAGGACCACCTTAACTAAATGTCATGGTCCTTTTCCTCATTCTTTCCAACTGCTGCAGGCCACGGGGAATTCCAAACCCAGATTCTCTCCCTTGGCACCTGCGGTACTGAATGAGCCTCCCCACCTTCCCACGTGGCTTTCTGCCTGTGCCTTCTCCAGCCACCCTTCCTCCTTTGCCCTTGGTTGTAGACAGTCTGTCTGTCTGTCTCTCTCTCCATCTCACCTGTCTTGAGTCTCTCTCCCTGTCTTCACTTCTCCCTCCGATTACAAGGAAACAGGGCCCTCTGGATGGGGAGCCCAGACAGTCACTCCCAGACCAGGCTGACAGCCTGGTCCTCCTTTTGCCTCCTGTTCCCTGCAGGCCCCCAGGTTGCTGCCATTTCCTTAACTCTTCCCCTGTCACCCCCACTTTGCCTCCCCAACACCCCTCTCTCTAGACTGACTTGGGAACAGGATGTGGTACCTTCATCTTCTCTCCTCATGTCTCTGAAACATCTGAGTTTTATTGGGGCTTTCCTGCCAGCCAGTCTGACCAACCAGGAAGTGAGCAATAGTAAGAAAGAGTGATATTATGAAATTATAAGGAATTTTTTAAGAAAACCAAAATAGCAATAAGCTTTCTCTGCTCTTTTATTTTCCTGGCTTCCTGAGATTCCCAAAGAAGTTCCTCTGTCCTCCCCTGGGACTGAACCCTGCCTCACCCTGAGTGCAAGAACAGTACATGAGACCTCAGCCCTCGGGAGAGCTGCTTTGCACGATGCTGGGTCTGGGGAGGAGTCTCAGTTCCTTCCAGAATAACAACACATGTATTGTGCGAACAGTTTACGCAGCGTTTCCAAATACATGATTCTCCTTTGATCTTCACAGCAGCCCTTGAAGTAGTTATTATTACCCCATTTAAGATACAAGGAAATCCATCCCATGCATCTTCCCGGAACACAGATCCCACTCCCTGGCAATTTACATAACCATTTTGAAATATTAAAATGACCGTTGCTATATTACGGTATGGAATGAAACATTTGATGACATTTTTAGATGAAATATGGGACTTCAAAGAGATGTCAGCTTGTGCTGGGCCGCCTTGGGCTTTCACCTCAACCCCTCCAGGGAATGCATTTTTCTCCTCCACCGGGAGGGGGATGTCATCAGAGAGACTTGAACAGGAGCATCCATCCATCCCCACTTCCTACCAGCTCTGTGATGTGCATATAAATCACCTGGGAATTGTGGCAAAATGCAGATTCTAATTCAGGAGGACTGGGAGGTGCCCACGTCGGTATTATTTTTTTTCCTAGAGACAGGGTCTTGCTCTGCCACCCAGGCTGGAGTTCAGTGGTGCAATCGTAGCTCACTGTAACCTTGGACTCCTGGGCTCGGGCAATCCTCCTACCTCAGCCTTCTCAGTAGCTGGGGCTACAGTCTGTGCCACCACACTTGGCTAATTTTTTTTTCATTTTAGAGATGGGGTCTTACTATGTTGCCCAGTCTGGTCTTGAACTCCTGATCTCAAATGATTCTCCCATCTCTGCCTCCCAAAGTGCTGGAATTACAGCCCAGCCTGTAATCCCACACCTGGCCCCAAGTGTGCACCTCTAACAAGCTCCCCGCTAATGCCCAGGGACCATACTTTGAGTAGCAAGGCCCCAGACTACCCAATCTTATTTCTCACTATTCACGACACCCCACCTCCAGTTAGATTATCTTTGAACTTGAGCTGGGAAGAACATGAGCTTTGGAGTCCAGGCCTGGCTCCAACTCCCAATACTGCCACTTAATTTATCTATAGAATGGGGGCAATGCCAGTACTTGTCTGGTTGGACTTTTCTTTGCCTTACAGGGTCAAACAAGGGACGAATACAGTAACAGTGGCAAGGTCTTAGCACAATACCTGGCACTTACAAAGTTCTCAGTGAACATCCATTATATTCACATTTCTAGAGCTCCAATACTGAAATAGCACTATTCCAGCCCCTCCCTCCCCACCCCATGCTCACTCCTAACCTGATGCCTTAATCATTCTATTCCCTTTTCCAGAAATCCACCCCATCTCCTCCAGCCTCCATTCACAGACTTTCCAAGACCCAGCCCATTCCCAAAGTCCCCATGAAGCCTTCCCTTGCCATTCTTCACACCCCCCAACTTCAGTTCATTCTGAAACCCTGCAATCAGTATTAAATTATACACAATACAGTGCGAAATAGGATATAATTAAATGCTAAATTGTTAGCATTTAACTATATATATATATTGCTTACTAATTATCTGGGGATTCGGAGACTTGGGGTGAGTCCAGAACTTTGCTATTTATCTCCTCTGAGCCTCAGTTTCCTCGTCTGTAAAAAGGGGATATTAATAAGGTCTACCTCACAGGGCTGCTGTAAGGATTAACTGGAATAAAAATAGAAGCAATTAGAGATCTTCTTCTTTCTTGCTTTTCTTATCGATTCCCCGGTTGGATTATAAATTCCTGGAGGGCAGAGCCGTGCATGGGGAAGGGGAAGGGGAAAGAGAAGGAATATCGCGTGGGAGCCTGGCTCCGGTCCGGGCGTCACCACCGTCCAGGTCTGCGATGGTAATTGCTAAGGCTGACTGAGTACTTACTACGAGCCAGGCACTATTCTGACCCCTTTCCACGCCTAATTTGGTTAATCCTCACCACAGCCCTGCTCAGACACCAGACACTGCCGCTCCCTGGCACGGCACCCTTCACTGTGCCGAGGATTCATTTCCTTATCTATGAAATGGAGGTATGAATATTTAAGGCACCCGATAAAGGGTGAGGACCCTGTAAAATGCCAAGTTTATCATCAGTGTTTTCCAGCAAACATTTACCAAGTGCTTACTGGGAGGCCGGCCCCCTTACATATGCGAGCAGGGCTTAACACAGGCTCTGGCCCAGTGCGGGTTCAGATACCAACTTGCCTGCGTAGGCTGTGCTTCCTCCTGCCGTTGTGCAACCACACGCCACAGCTGCAACCAGCCAGGCAACCACACGCTGTCCAGGGGGCCCTGCAGAGGGCTCTGGGAACACCCATTCAACTGAAAGCACAAGGGTATTTTTCTGCGAAGAGAGTCCATAACTTTCATCAGATTACCACCTAGGCCCCCCAAAAGGAGACGAATGATTATAATAAAACATACAAAATGCAAAGCCAAGGGTCTGAATAAGGGGACCAGAAAGGCCTCTGGGAACACAGCCAGGCCCTAGTCCTTGGAGTCATTTTCAAAACCACGATCCCTCTCCCACCCCACATCTCATCTATCAGCTCCATAAACTACGGTATATCCCAATCTGACCACTTTTCCCTCCTCCCCTCCACGCTGCTCCGGGGATCTCACTGGACTCCTGATTTGGCCTCTGCCCCTGCAGTCTGTTCTCCCTGCTGCAGCCAGGGAGACCTGAAGAAAGGTGTGTGGAATCGTGTCACTCCCCCGCTCAGGGTCCCAAGTGGGCTCCTGTCCCACTCAGAGTCTAGGACAAGGCCCT